CCAGCAGCAGCAGTAGCAGTAGCAGCAGCAGCAGCCAGCAACAGAGCAGTAGCAGCAGCAGTAGCAGTAGCCAAACAGTAGCAGTAGCTCAGTAGCAGCAGCAGCCGTAGTAGCAGTAGCGTAGCAGCAAAGCAGCAGTAGCCAGCAGCCTAGCAGCAGCATTGCAGTAAGCAGTAGCAGTAGCAGTAGCAGTAGCCCAGTTTAGCAGTAGCAGTAGCAGTAGCAGTAGCAGTAGTATTGGTGTTATAAGGAGTGAATAATAATAGATTATTGTTACTATCTACGTCTACGGTGCCGATTGTTTGCGCATTTTTCGTACAACTAGCGGCGACTGTCAGGGCGAGAAAGAAGCGCTCTGCATAAATCGAATCGGTAGACGAACGCAGCGACTCTATACTATACTACACAGCAATTACAGCGCGGCCGGGCAATAGAAGCTTATGTACACGACACGCCCGTATGTCCGTGGGTGTCACGTACATATATCGATCGCGTCTCCGCGGAAATATCAAGGCCAGGGAAACGTGGGATATATAATTATTATATAATTATATATATTATATATTATTTAATGTTGCTGTTGTGTGTGTGGTGTGCTCGTGTAGTGTGTTGTGTGTGTGGGGTGTGTGTGTGCCCGGTGCTTGCTGCGGGTGTGTGTGTGTGGCGCATTGCGCGGCGCCGTGGCGTGCGTGCGTTGTGCGCGCTGTGGTGTGAGCCGCGCTGTGTGTGTGCGCGCGCGCTGAGGGGAACGGAGCGAGGCACACGATTTCAGAGCTGTATTAGTAGCCGAGATAAATCGCCACAGATTATTGCTATATTAGATTTAGCCAAACGAACGAAACGCATCATCGGTCACCGCTGATATCTTTGATCTGTTTCTTTCACACAAACGGTTGTCTTGACCAATATCCGCCTACTTGAATATAGTGGCAGAAGAGTCCATAATTAGAAGGACTATAGGAAGAACTACTGAAGAAAAGATTTCTACTTATGGACTCTTGAATATGCAGGATAATATTATTGATTATGTACATTTGTCTTAATATGTTCATGTTATCATTGTTTGTTCTATATCGTTATTTGTTATCGCCATGGGACAAAATGTTATATGACATTTGTCAATATAATAATATGTTAATAATCCTGAGTAATATAATAATTATATTGTTAAATTTACCAAAACTTTCTCAGTGTGTCGTATGTGCTGGTGTGTCCGCCGCGCGCGGTGCGTTGCGTGCCCGTGCATGTGTTGTGGGAGAGAAGACGAGCGTGGCTCGCGAGAGAGATGCAGAATATATAATCTCTATACTATATAGAGAGGAGATTAAGAGCACAGCGTAGAGCAGATCGAAGAGTAAGAGAGAGAGGAGAGGCAGACGAGAGCGAGAGAGGTCTAGAGGTATACTACAGTCCAGATCTTCCTTTTAGTTCAATCGCCAGAAGTAGAGGCAGAGAGAGATGAGGTAAATGATTCGAGTGCTTGCACAGAATTGGCGGTAGAAATAGAGTGAGAGGAACCATACGTGATATATCAGTGGAAGTAAGTAATAATTATGGGTTAGCTTTCCTGAATCAATATCATATAGTAGGAGAGAAGCGAAGATAGAAGCAAAAGAGACAGAGAAAGGAGAGAGAGAGCAGGAGAGAGAGGAGAGAGAGAGAGAGAGAGCAGAGAGAGAGAGAGAGAGAGAGAGAGAGAGCAGAGAGAGAAGAGAGAAGTGTGAGAGAGAGGAGAGAGCAGAGAGAGATGAGAGAGAGAGAGAGAGAGAGAGAGAGAGAGCAGAGAGAGAGAGACCGAAGAGCGCGAGAGAGATTCTGGCGCTTTCATGTGATGATACTATATAGACAACCCTGCGATTGTGCAGAAAACGGACGTCCGGCCTGCGCATACTCACAATAGCCTTCGTGTGACCTCGGCAGCATCTATATTCAACGTATATTCACATCAGCAACAACTCGTGACTATACCATATCGGCAGACTCTGCTTCGCCATCAGTTCACAGTCCTATCAGTTTTCTATCTCGCTGATTACATGTACAGACCCCTGGGCGCGCTCTATTTTCCCGCGTAAAAACCATCGATCTGCTTTTCTCCGGCTGACTGAATATTTTTTGTTTTAGGTTTCAGAAATCAACGCCTGCGTAAATAACGGCTCTAGAAAACGCTACAACATACAAAGCTACTTGCGGTGTCAGATAACGGTAGTTGACTTCAGTAACGTGATGTATAGTAAGTGGGTGCATGCATGTTATGCATGTGCAACATGGTTAGGGTGATGCTAATGTCCTCCACGCGGCACGCACAGCTAACCTGAATCGATTGACAAGAAAATTAACACCGGAGAGGGTTGAAATTATCGCTGCCAGGCACGCAGCTACAAACATGCAAAGATTTGGAAAAACATGCGAACAGTGTGATATACTACACCTCACGTTGTCTATATATAAGTATTAAGGAGTATCAGAGTAACATTTAATACATTGCGTTTATAGTGGTACAATACGCTCAGTTATCACATAAGATATTAATATAATTATCATTACACCTATTAATGTTTTATTTGCTCCCTGTAATCTCGAAGTCCACTCTTATTTGGCGTTCCGTGTTCCATGCCTCCATATTTCTCCCTGCCCTCCTTCTGTCCTTTAAATTTTGGCCCCATCCTTATCAATTCCTCATAATCCCTATCTCCCATCCTTTCCTCCGCTTGACTTATTTATTTCTCATGCTTTCCTTCTACTTAATACATTTTTTTTCTCGCGTTTCTCATATTACTTGTCAGAATTTCCGCTTTGCGCTCTCGTCTGTTTCGTCTCTTCCTGTATTTCATCCTTCTTCTTCTCTGTCTCTTTACTATGGGTTCTCCAGAACTTTTCCTTCACTCGTCCATATTCTTCGCCCGCCTTTCCTTTCTAGTCTTCGTGTTCAGACCTCCTAACTCGCTCGGCATTGTTTCATCGACATCTCCCTCTTCGCACACCTACTACCACCACTCCCTCCTCCGTGCTCACCCACATTCTTCTGTCGTGCTCTGCATTCTCTTCTTCTCCTTTCTACTTCTCTTCACTCTTGCTCCTATTCGCTTACGTTTTCTCTATTCCCGCTTCCGCAATACTTCGCTTAGTTTCTCTTTTTTCTTTCCTCTTGCCTTCTTCCACTCATCCTTTCGTTCCTTTCCTACCTTCTCCCTTCTCCGCGCTCCTCTGCCTCATATTCTCCTTACACGTCCTTCTCCTTCTCCGGGTATCTCCTGGCTGAGTAGCCCAATAAACACTCGAAGCACATCAAGAATCGGCACCACACACGCACCGCGACGCATCCGCACGCCCAATGATCCTACGGCGAACACGACGTTCCACGCGCGCACGCGCGCACGCACGCCAACATACACGACTACACGCACGCACAACGCGCGCTACGCCGCACGCACCGGCACGCACGCACGCACGCCACACACGCACAACCCCACCCACTAAAACACACGCACGATGCACACACACAGCCACACGAGCACATTACACACCGCAGCAGCACACACACACACACATCAGCACAAGTCACACACACAGCACGACACACACACACACAACACCGACACACACACCACCGAACACACGCTTCTCTCTCTTCTCCTCTCATTCTCCTCTCTGCGTCTCTCTCCTCTGCTCTGCCTCCTCGCTCTCTCTCTGGCTCGCTCTCTCTCGTCTCTCTGCTCTCATCTCTCGGCGTCTCTTCGTTCCGGTCATCCCGTCTGCGCCCTTCTCGGTCGCTGCCGCCCGCGACCTACCACCACTCCACTCACACAGATACGCACACATACGATTCAGCGCGCGTCGTTCAGCGCTTGCAACCCTCTGCTGCCGCTAGAAATCAGAGCGTGACGAACCAAATGCAGCCATGCATCGTTTCTTCCTAAATGGCAACGATGCGAGGCCAGGCAGCTCTTCGATCTGCCCGTTATAGGCCTAATTGTATAAGCCTTAAACAAGCTGAAACGACCTCATAAATTCTTGCCTGTGCTACTCCGACGTGGATTTTACACTATGACATATTATTGTAAACTTACCGATTCGTCAGTCAGAACTCTGGATATCTGTCTAAGTTTTGTTTAATTCATTCTCCATATTTTCGCCCGTTCAGGAGACGGCGAGACTTCGCTTCTTACAGGAGAGCACGCTCCGCGATTCTCTCTGTCGCCTAGCGTGCACCTTTTGCTTGATCGCCGATGCCTGCGCCAGGATTGGCTGCGTCACTCTCTACCCTTTAGTCCAGTTTCCACCGCGGTGCAAAAACGTCCACAGTTTAAACAGCGCGCAAACTTATAGTAGTAATGTCGTCGATCGCAATAATTCTACGAAATATGGTGTCAGTCGTCTTAGATCTCATGCGCGGCATTCTCTGTGTTGCGCCCACACGCTGAAGCGACGGCAGTCTATATCTTCGCTATAAATTACTTATAACACCGGAAATCCCAGCAGGCACTGTCGCTTGCATTTAAAGGCGGCAGCCAACCGTCTTCAATCACTCAACACGCAAACGGGGCGCCCACGCACGCACCACACACACACAGCCACACGCACGCACACACATACACACGCACGACGCACGCACGCAGCACGCCACACGCACACGCACCACCGCACACGGCGCACACGCACACACGCCGGACGCACGCACACGCACACGGCACACGCACACACAACACACACTCTCTCTCTCTTCTTCCTCTCTCTCTCTCTCTCTCTCTCTCTCGCTTCTCTCTCTCCGCTCTCTCTCTCTCCACTACCAACTCCACTCACACAGATGCACACATACGATAGCGCGCTGTACCTGCAACTCTGTTGCTAAAAATAGAGCGTGACGAACAAAAGCAGCCATCCATCGTCTTCAAATGGCAACACACATGCAGGCACTCTCTGCTATAACAAGTTGAACGACCTCATAATTTTGCTGTGCTACTCACCGAGTGGATTTTACACATGAATTATTGTAAACTTACCGATTGTAGTCAGAACCTGATATCTGCTAAGTTTTGTTTTGAATCCATTCTCCATATTTTCCCGTTCAGGAGACGCGACATTCGCTTCTCAGGGAAGACCTCCGCGATTTCTCTCTCGCTGCATGCACTTTTGCGGATGCCATGCTCGCGCAGGATTGGCTCGTCCACTCTTACCCTTAGTCCCAGTTTCCACCGCGGTGCAAAAACGTCCACAGTTTAAACAGGCGCAAACTTAAAGAAGTAATGTCGTCGATCGCCAAGAATTCTACGAATACTGATGTCTTCGTATTAGATGCGCGGCATTCTCTGTGTTGCGCCACACCGTGAAGCGACGCCAGTCTATATCTTCCGCTATAAATACTTTAAACCGGAAACTCCCAGAGCACTGTCGTTGCATTAAAGGCGGCAGCACCGTCCAATCACTCAAGCACGCGGCAAATGTACATTTCGCGTATCCGATGCAAGCATGGAATACGATCCTAGTATAACGCATACGAGTTAGCAGTATTGGCACAAATAAACCAGACGGCCCCGCCGTTCGTAATCCTGTCAGGCGACGGTACGCAGGCCGTGATGTTGAGCTCGCTAATAATGTTTGAGTAATTATTCTCCGTTCGTAGAAGGGCGGCTGTGCGTAATATGATTGTGCGTAGAATCATGTACAAAGTAAAACTGTGTTTGGTGCTTCTGTGCGTTACTTTGACAACCGTCATGATATACGTGGGCTTCGTTCTTCCGTCGTCGCTTGGTGGCGTGCTAACAATGAATAAGTCCGTGAAGCCTTTGCGGCGACTAGTGTCGTTCGCTGCCATGCCTTCCGCACTCACAGAGTACGACCACCAGCAGCTGCATGCTTCTGCTTTGTTGAATGGCATAGGACCGAAGCTAAAGTTCCTGCCGCGATATAGGCCTAGCATGCAGCTAAAACCACCTACTACACTAAGCAATAGAATCCACATAGGTCCCCCACCTAACGATTTCAAATTCGCTATGAATAGCACGGACGTCTTGGTGTTTCTGCACATCCAGAAAACCGGGGGTACGGAGTTCGGGAAGCATCTGGTCAAAGACTTGGTACTGGAAAGACCTTGCTTCTGCCCCAAGGGACAGAAGGTGTGCGACTGTTTCCGGCCGAACTCTGATGACAAGTCGTGGCTGTTCAGTCGTTTCTCCACAGGATGGCGATGTGGACTGCACGCTGGATGGACAGAGCTGACTTCGTGTGTAGACGATGTGATGAACAAGCTAGAACATAGCTCGGAGCATCGCAGGTCCGTGAATAACATAAATGAAAATGTCGAGATGCTGATTGAAATGTGGATTATTTCATGCAAAGTATTTAAAATGTCAAGCAAAACTTATTTCTCAATATCTCCCACATCAAAAACATGTCTGCTCTAGCATTAGGTATCTTAGAAAATATGAATATAGAATCACCAGACAAACTGCCCCTCTAAACCATTGATTCTAGTCATCTCTTCACCATTGATTCTAGTGAAAGATTAAGAATTAATGCACTTGATCTAATCGCTTGGTCATAACACTGGCAAGTAAATGTCTGTTTTTGTCAGTTGCGGTTTGTGATCAACAGTCAGTTTAATTCTGGCACCATATTAGCTCTATTTTCATAGCCTCTATCCACCTCATAGCCTCATAGCCTCTATGATGGAGGCTGAAGTGGAAGGCATTGTATCTAACTGCTTATTGGACCGTGCTTTCAGCTTAATTTCAGGCCTATACTATGTCAGTTTTGAAAATAAGTCTGAAAATTCAGCCAATCTTGATTTCGAAAATTGTGATTCCTACTATATATATATATATATATATATATATATATATATAACCTATAGTCAAATACATAAAGATTAGTCTATTCTTCTCAAAAGTTACCAGTCCCAGATCGTGGAAAGGCTTGTATTTTCAACACTTTGCAACCTGTGCACCTGACTGCATGTGTTTGGTACAGGTACTACTACGTACACACCTGCTGGTTGCGTGTGACCGTTACAGGTACTACTACGTACACACCTGCTAACTGTTTGTTTCAGGTACTTTTACGTGACAATGCTGCGCGAGCCCGTGTTGCGTTACATCAGCGAGTTCCGGCACGTGCAGCGCGGCGCGACGTGGGCCGGCGCTACGCTGCGCTGCAACGGACACTCGCCGACGGCCGAGGAGCTGCCGCCGTGCTACGCGACCGACACGTGGCAGAACGTGACGCTGGACGCCTTCCTCGCCTGCGAGTCTAACCTCGCCGCGAACCGGCAGACGCGCATGCTCGCCGACCTGCGGCGCGTCGACTGCTACGACGCGTCGTCGATGCCGGCTGAGCGGCGCGACGCCGAGATGCTTGCGAGCGCGCGCCGCAACCTGCGCGATCTCGCCTTCTTCGCGCTCGTCGAGCACCAGGAGCTGTCGCAGTTTCTCTTCGAGCAGACGTTCGCGCTGCGCTTTCGCCAGAGCTTCCAGCCGGCCGACAGCTCGAGGAGCAGCAACACGCAGCTGACCGAGGAGCAGCGCCACCTGGTGGGAGAGCGGAACCGGCTCGACGTGCAGCTGTATCGCTATGCGGAGGAGCTGTTCTTCGAGCGGCTGAATCGCACCGTCGAGCAGTATCCGGAGAAGTTTGCCGCCTTCATCAAGACCTAGTGGGCGTGGTTGCATCTTGGCCGTTGCGCAGGGCGGATGCTCGGTTGCTCAGCTACGGTGGCGCTGCGCGAGGCCTTCGTCACTGACGCTTTGCGAAGCTCCGGTTGTGTGTGTGTGTAAAGCTGGGTTTATACTGCCAACTTTGAGTTGGGGAATTGCCGAATTGCCGAATTAGAACATGCTCTAATCTCCCAACTAGCTGCTATCGATCGGTTGGACGTGCAACTTTTGCGTTTACACTGCCGATTGTCAGTTGCGAAATTGCGAAGTTGGTACAAAATTTGCCAACACAAAGTTGGCTGTGTAAACCCAGCTTCACGAGACGTATGCCTCCTTCATCAAGACCTAAGAACCGGAGAAATTCTTGTGACCGTCATTGCTGTGGATAAGGTTGCTCTGCAACTTGCTATTGCCACTTGCTAGGTTTTTACGTAGCGTGCAAGAGTTAGAAGTGATTGATGTATGGCATGTGTGCTAATATGCCTGGAAGTGGAGAGAGGTTCGCTGCCTTTGTCTTTAGTTCTACACAGTCATAACTACAATATCTCCTGCTTGATTCTCTCACCTTCTTATCCCTCTCTCACTTTCGCACTCTGATAATCTTTCCTTCCACCTCTCCTTGCTTCCCTTGGTTCCTTCTCCCCACGTTTTCTTCCCCTCCTTATCTTTCTCTGTAATTTATTTCTCTTTCCCTCCTTATCTTTCTTTGTTATTTAGTTCTCTTACCCTTTATCAGCCAAAACAGGCATGAGCAAAATATTTATTAAAATGTGCTCTGATGAAAGGCTTTCAATTTGCAGTTGTGTATATCATTTAATCTGAGTGACAGCTACCTTGTGTTATCAGAGGGAGGGAATATTACTTAGTAGAAGTTGTATTTGTTTACATGTGACCCTTATATGTGTATAATATTAAATATGATGTGTCTCATAAATATTCTCTCCCTCTTTAGTCATACTATGTGGTAGTGTTAAAGTGGATAAACCTCGCAGCTAGATGCTTATTTGTATTGCTACTTTCACATTTCTTCATAAAAGTAGCACCACAGGATATGTACAGTGTTTACACATCCGGTACACAGCCGAGCGAACGTTGTGCTGCATTAACAGTTCTTTTCTGTGTTAACACGTTATATATTGTTCGATGTTTACTCTGTACGAAATTATGAAATTTGTTTAAATCGCATGTTAACTACATTACATATGCAATCAGGAAACAAATATAGTGTTTTCGTTCCAGGAACTATTTGCGCTAGTGTAGCGCTACTATTTAGCATCCTCTGACACTTCGCTCAACATAATTGATAGTATTTTCGCCAAAACCGCATCCGACTGGGTAATTCAAAATAGTCATCTTCAGAGCACATTTCTGGCTCAATGAGAACATTTCGTGATGTTTGCATACTGCAAGTATGCTCACAGTAGGTGTATATAAGCTTATTGTTGCGAGGTTTATCCACTTTAAAGTTGTTGTCACTGTGCTGCCTTGTCTGTCATGTTCTGGTATGCTGATCATCCACATTCTATTACGTTTATAGTATTCACATCATTTCATTCATTTCATTTCATTATTTGCATTATCTTCTTTCTCATTTTTACCATTGTCAGTATTCCAGTGCTTTGTTGATCCAGAAACGTGAATGTGTTAATAGTTGATGAGTGATATAGCTTTATATATATCTTGCCCAAGGCAAAGTTCTGTAGGCTAAGTTCGGAGTTGCAAAGTCACGCGCTATACACTTTTTCTCCAACAGAAGAATCCCTTATTTAATTTTGGCATCGGGCTGTGACAACAGATTAATCTTACGTGGCATGATATTGGACTTAAGAGAACGGATCTTTGGCTCAGTCCATGCGTTTGGCATATAGAGAGTGTGGACGAATTTGCGATCAGTTGCGAGCCTGAAACATTGGTCCAACCAGTGGAGCTATCATGAACAATATGCCTGTAGGTCTTCGATAGAAGGTTCTTGTAAGACAATACGACGGCCTACACGCGTGTACATGGATACGTCGATTTTTTTTTATACTAAGTCTTGTAGACGGTCTAGATCAATCGTACGTTACTCTCTAGTATTTGTTATGCCGGGTATTTGTGACGATTTCACGTTTTGCTTCTCGACACCGAATGAGCAGCAGATTTACACTGCTCGCCTATGCAGTTCAATAATATAGTTCCGAGAGAGAGAGAGAGAGAGAGAGAGAGAGAGAGAGAGAGAGAGAGAGAGAGAGAGAGAGAGAGAGAGAGAGAGAGAGAGAGAGAGAGA